AGTGTGTAAGAACACTTGAGGACCTGAGTTTGAATCCCAGCACTCATATAAGAAGCCAGGCAAGGCCACACATGCCTGTAGCCTCAGTACCATGAGGGGCAGAGACAGGAGGATTGCTGGACCTTGCTGTATGTCAGCCTCATTCCAGGTTCAGTGAGAGCCCTTGCTGCAAGGAAAGCGAATAAGGACAGAGCAAAGCATCCAACATCCTCCTTATGAACACACATGGACAATACACTGATCCCTCCCAATACACACGGTAAAAACAAACATATTAACATTCTTAATGATTTTATTATTTTAATGATTTTATTATCTATCTTGAAAAAAAAAGTTGTTTTTTTTTTTTTTTTTTTTTTTTTTTTTTTTCAAGACAGGGTTTCTCTGTGTAGCCTTGGCTGTCCTGGAAATAGCTCTATAGATCAGGCTGGCCTTGAACTCAGAGATCCACCTGCCTCTGCCTCCTAAGTGCTGAGATTAAAGGCATGTACCACCACTGCCTGGCCAAAGAAAACATTTTTAAAGCTAATAAATTATGAAAATTCATAAAAGGATATTGAAGAAAAGATCAGTTTAGAGATGTGCCCAAACACGTTTGCACTGTTGTATACATGTAACACATGCACATACAGAAACTCCTCAGTCAATTTACAGAGCTAGGTACATTTCTCTACATTAACAAAATAATATCAACAATAATCTATTATTAAGATTATCAAGATAATTGCAATACAGTGTCTTTACAATAGCAACACAGAAACCAAGGACCTAGGAATAAGTATAATAAATGATCTATAAGATCTGTGTAGAACATTAAAAAAATTGTTGAAGATTATTACAGATGACCTAAGCAAATGGAGAGAGATACACTGTTTCTATAAATACAGATATTTATGCTGTAAAGATTCCGAGTTTTCTTAATCGAACAATTGGTTCAATGTCATTTCAATTAAAAATAAAAGTCAATCCTAAGACTTACTAAAGTAACTATGCCCTTCCATTAGGTAGGGAGTCCTGTTTTACCAGATATTTTTTTTTGGTGTAATGTGATAAAAATTAATAACATGATGTGTGACAGACTGACATTGCCTATTAGGTGGAAGAGGGAAGGTTAATCAATCAGTATTAAAATAAAAATTCTAATGCTGTTGGTTAACACCAAGAAACAAAAACAAAAAAATTCCAAATGTAAGAAAGACCCCACCTTTAAAGGAAACATTAAACAAACAAACAAACAAACAAACAAGAGCATTCTTACAAGGCCTTCATTACAGAAAACAACCAATCACAATGCAGAATTGTGGCTCTCGGTTCTAATGGCTACATCTACAAAACACTCCCTCAGCTAAGGCTCAGGCAGCATTTGGAAGAGGCTGAAAGATTGTCAGAAGCAGAGGATCAAGGAGTTTGCTGTGAGGTTGTGTCTCCCACCTTTGTCAGAAGCTACATCCCTAAAGTTTCACCAAGCAAGGCTGCCTAAACATGAGCAAGAACAAGAATGACACCAATAGACATGCTAAAGTGGATGAGGGAAAGTTCGTGGGACCTTAACCTAGTCAAGGAACTACAGGCAACTAAGGAATGTTGAGAGTGGGAGGAATAGTCTTTCATAGAGAGGAGCTCCCAAATCGTCAGCCCTGAAAACATACACACAAGTAACACTGAACAGACTGAGGTTATTTTTAGGAATATATGTGTCTATACATATATGTAATAACAAGTTAATGAAAAAAAAAGGGCCATTAATTTATAGGAAAGCAATGAGAAGTATATGGGAGGATAGGGGTGGGGGTGGAAAGGAAGAGAAAATGATGTAATATTATAATCTCAAAAAATAAAAGAAGAAATGGAAAAATTAAGTCTTGGACATAGTGTGAAAAGACAAATTCAAATGGAACAAAAATGTTACAATATCTGCAACTGACAAAATTTAGTATTCACAGTATTTAAAAACTGTCAACAAGGAGAAAAAGATAGCAGCCTCTGCTGGACGCGCTGGTGCACACCTGTAATCCCAGCACTTGGGGAGGCAGAGGCAGGTGCATCTCTGTGAGTTCGAAGCCAGCCTGGTGTACAAAGTGAGACCTGGACAGCCAGGGCTACATAGAGAAATCCTGTCTCAAACAACAACAACAACAACAAAAGTGACCTCATCACCCCTAAAGAAGCAGAGGTTAGGGAACTGGGGAAATGGCTCAGTGGTTAAGAGCACTGACTGTTCTCCCCGAGGTCTTGAGTTCAATTCCTAGCATTCACTTGGTGGCTCACAACCATCTACAATGGGGTGCCCTCTACTAGAACTCAGGTGTACATGCAGACAGAACATTCACGTAAATAAATAAATCTTAAACAAACAGACACAAAACCCACAAAGGGGAGATTACACATGGCTGGCAGCCATGCTGAAATGATGACCCTTTTGTTATTAATGAGAAATGCACATTAAAGCTGCACCAGGATTCCATTTCCTACCTTCCAAAGAAGGGAAAACGTAAAATAAGACAATTCAAATGTTGTCCAGCAATATCCTGGTGGTAGTGTGAACAACACAGTAAGTTGGAAAACAATTTGACATGGATGGGCCAATTAGTTAACAGCGTTCATGATCTACGGTGAGCAAATGCCTCTCCTAGGTGTGTACCACTGCTGTGCTAATAGACACCAGGAAACAGAGCCTAAGGATGCTCTCATTGTGTGAGCAATGACAATGAGATGGGGAGTGCTCATCTGAAGTGAAATCCTCAAGGTGTCTGGTCGTTCTTGGAATAGAATGCCCACCTTCATCCTCTCCTTTCTGTCATGTACCTCTTGCTCTATTCCTTAAGATTTCCGTCTTACTTAGGGCATTACTGGTGTGTCGAAACACCATGACTGAAAGCAGTTTGCTGACTCATCCATATAACAGTTTATCATCAAAAGCAGTTGAGGATAAGGACTCAATCAGAGCTGGAACTTGGGGACAGGAGCTGAGGCAGAGGCCGTGGAGGGGTGCTGCTTACTGGCTTGCTTCCCATGGCTTGCTCAGCCTGCTTTCCTAAAGAACTGAGGACCACTAAGCCAGGAATGGCACCACCCACAATGCCCTGGGCCCTCCCACATCAATCACTAATGAAGAAAATGCTCTCCAGCCTTGCCTGCAGCCTGATCTCATGGAGGCATTTTCTCAGTTGAGGCCCCCCTCCTCTCAGATGACTCTAGCCTATGTTAAGTTGACATAAAACTGGTCAGTCCAATCTCCCTTATCCCTGGTACTTGCTTTTTTCAAGACTGTTCATAGCTGGCTCTTTCCATTGAGGTCCATATTACTTCCTCAGGGAGTCCTTTGCCATTTCACCTAAACTGGTTCTCATCCTTTATTCCATCTTAGCTTTAATGTGTTTTCTATAGAAAATACCAATTTTAAGTTATGCATCTATGTATGTATGCATGTGTCTATCTGGTTTTTTGTTTTGTTTTGTTTTTACAGGTCTCCAATGTTAAACATCATCTCCATGGAGCCAGGGATTACCCTTGCTCATGATTGTAACCCTTCCACACAGTCTGGCATACAGTAGTTACTCAATGAACTTTGGCTGACTTGCATGCTTGAATAAAAATAGTGCAGGGATTTTGTATATTTCCATTTAAGGTAGTTTGTTGATCTGAGAGTAAGCTTTATCAGCTCCAGTTCATGGGAAGAATAATAGGATACCAAAAGGCCACAGCTACAGAAATTCCATATATATATAATAGAAGATGTGTTTACTTGTTCTTATTTTATATCTGACAAATTTAACCAGCCTCTGCAAGAGCAAGTGATCTTAACTGCTAAGCCATTTCTCTTTTCTTTTTGTTCTACTTATTTATTGAAAATTGTAATTACTTAAACCACAGCTATTAATACATTTTGTTTGCTAGTACACCTCATCTTTCCTCTTTATTTTTGCCTGCCAGAGACTGCATGGCTGTTTAACAGCTATGGAGACAGCCGAGGAGATAAGGCCAAGGAACCAGCATGTGAGAGACCACTGAAACTCAACAAAACGTGAGCACGCGCAGCAGGGGTTTTTACATTTTCCAGAAGATTTACTTAATTTTATTGTCTGTGCACGAGTGTCTGGTGTGCACAGATATCTTTGTACCACATGTGTGCAGTGCCCAAGAAGGACAGGAGAGGCTGTCAGATCCTCTGGCATTGAAGTTACAGAGAGTTGTGAGCCACATGTGGGTTCCAGGAACTGAACCCTGGTCCTCTGCAAGAGCAGCTGGTGCTCTCCTAACTGATGAGCCATCTCTTCAGCCCAGAGTTTTACATTTTCAGTCACTCAACTAGTCATTAGTGATGGGTGGAAAAATCAATCTAACATAAAAACTTACAAAAGGACTATCGAGTTTTCATTAGTAATATGCAATCACACCGCATCTGAGCAGTGCACTGACATTAACCAGCTAAGAGGGAATGTGACCTGACTGTGGCCAAAGGTTCTGTAAGTCACTGTGCGTTAAAGAGATGGAGCAGCACTTGTAGCAGCACGTTAGTATGTATTAAGAAAGACAAAAAAAAAAAAAAAAAAAAAAGATGGCAATTGTCTGAATGACTTAAGAACTACTATTTAAATAACATTTTAATGATAAGTTGGGGAACTTAAACCATACCTATACCATATAAGGTTTCTGGTTTGATCATTTAACTCCACTTCCTGAAAACCTGACAGCAAGTCAAGGATTGAGGAAATTTCCAGTTTCTGATTTATTTCTAGTTATCCAATATATCCAATATGGAAGAAGAAGCAAAAGACTGAGCTTAGTGGTGGCAACAGTCTGCTTTCCCCCATGCACCCTCGCCTCAGTTCATATCCCTTCTCTCCACACCCTTTTAAATTCACCCAGCAGAATGCCCGGCTTATAAACTCTTTTTCCCCTGGCTCAGTGTTCCTCCGAGGAATACAAGGTGAGAGCTCTCTAAGGGCCACCTGCTGGGTGGCTGGAGGTGACCAGCATAGCATGCTGGTTGTGCCTACCTGAGGAAAACGGAGCTGGGGCTGTCAGTGGAGCTGTGTGGGGCCTCCGCACTGGACCTCGGGTTGCTGGGAATCTCGAACTTGAACACACTGTCACTGGAGGAGAGCCTTTTCTTCATCATTGTATTCTTGCCCACCACCACGTCAAGATGTCAGCTCATAAGCTCATTTCCAGAGCTCTCAATTAAATCGAGAATTGTTGTATTGCAGCTTGTCACAGCGCCTGCCTTGCAGGAAGCGCCTAACTGACCCTGATCTAGCCCAGGCATTTTTTTTTTTTTTAAATTAGTTAATGAGTAACCTATCAGTATGACACAGCATGGTTTTCATCCTACTGACATTTGCTCTGAAAGAGAAATGAACGTGTTTGGGGAATTGAGCTCTCACTTTGGTAATATGAATGTTGCTGTATCTGTGGATTTAGGCCAAAACAAACAAACAAACAAACAAACAACCCAAACCCTATGGAAAAATATACAGTTAAACCAAAACACGGAGGAGCAGAGCAGGCTGCAGGCGGACATTAAGAACAAGATGCCCCCGTGAACTGCCTGAGCCTGCTGGGCAGGGTGAGGAATGTAGGTACACATACAGAAAATAATCCTCGTCACTACGCCCAGGATGCTTGAAGCTGCGTGAGCCTTGGTCCTCAGGACCTGAAGGCTTCTGGAATTCTGATGGATATGACAAGGCAAATTCAACCAAATCTAAAACCTCTGGCTGTTTATTCCAGTAAGTTATCTCTGGCTGTTTATTCCAGTAAGTTACCGCTGGCCACAGCCTTTAACAAAGCCTCAACAGCAAAGACGCTTAAGAAGCAAAGAGCTGAGTCTCGTCCCTGTTACTTGCAGACTGGGCAGTTGTAATGGTCCCTACCTTACTGCCCATCTCTCCGCCTCACAGGCTTAGAAGGCAATTAATTACACAGAACAATGTGCCATGGTGATTTGAACTAAGCACGGGCTGATATAAATTGTACCTAAACCCAGGAAGTCCAGAGAGGAAATGTCTTTGTGTGATAATAGTCAATTGATAAGTCTCCTGTGATGGAAAACATCAGGCTTATCCTACTGGTGTTTCTACAGTAATGAAGGTTGTTTTCTTGTGTTTTGTGTGTGTGTGTGTGTGTGTGTGTGTGTGTTTAGCCTGTGACACTGAGAGAAATACAGGTTTGGATTGTAGAAGGGAGCACAGTTTCCTGAAAAATCAGAACTTTAGCCTTGGCTTCATTATCACTCTGCTGATAACCAGGCAGGGGCAGGCTTGCTGGCTGTACTACGGTCTCAAGGCACACTCTGGACATTAGAGAAAGTACGTCTTCTGGCGGAATTGGTGGAACTATCCTTGTATCCAGAAGGGTGACCTGTTTATCTTTGTCTGCCTGGGATTTTTCTCTTTTTAGGCCTGAATGTCATGACTACTAGAAATCAACCGTTGCTGGGCAACTTTGACTGGTGGCCACACTGGTGTCCTGGGCTGAGACTCAGATGGTGTCTTGGACCTAGTTGGTCCCATGACCTGAAAAGCCATGGTCTATGTCTCTTTTCTGTCTTGGTATTTCCATTGTGTGGGAAATCATGCTGCAAAGACATGTCACAGAAGCTAAGTGTTGCCTGAAACCAATCATCATGCCTTTTAGAGAAGCATCTAGTCACATAGTAGTTTCTAACCTTTGTTAAGAAAAGTCCACTCAGCCCAGATGTTAATGAGCAGTGAAGTGTAGGGTGCTGTTTCTCTCTTGCAGGCAGGGATTTTAGCCAGAAGCAATGTTTAACTCAGAATAAAAAGTCTCTAAGGGAGAAAATTCTGGTGTTGGTGTTTTGGACATAGCTTTCACTAGGAAAGCGCTCCCAGGGCTTGATAACAAAATATGTATCCAATTGGCAAAGCTCTCTGCTAGCCTCCAGCCTTCACCACCTCCCTGCCTGATCTGTTGCTCGTTCTCATAATCTGCATTTCAGTTTAAGATTCTTGGCCTAGATGACGTTCAACATCTTCAGCCTCTTTGTGTAAACACCACAGAATAAAATTTGATTCTAAGTGTTTTTTTTTTTTTCAATTCTTCAATCAAACAAGGTCCATAGTTCCAATAACTTAGCATTGTGCAATGATGGTAGTCTTGTTTACTTGAGCCCAAACATTCTGAAGTCTGTGTCTGAAGAAGTAATACACCTTTTGACGCTAGGCTAGATTTGAGGTGGGGACTCTATGGCTGTTTAGTCTTCTTTTTCTCCTTTTCTTTCTCTCCCTTATTTTTTTTTTTCTAGAAGTATGGGCATTGGCTATCAAGGCATAAAATCAAACTGGAAACATCAGACAAACAGTTTCAAAAATAGATTTCCAGAGGCATGGAATATCAGTTTCTATTCATAAGTGAATGCGTCCTCTGGGCTTAAGCAAAGTTAGAAAGATTTGTACTCCGAGATTCATCTGGTGGATTAGACTATGCCTTGGGTGGTAGGAATAGCGCTAGTTCATGTGCTTTAAGCTTATTTGGGCACAGAAGGTTCCAGTACAATCTGTACACAGACAGATTCAGAAAAGTACTGTGGGTTAGAGTGAAGAGTACGATTTTTAAAATTGAAAATATTTATTTTCAATTATGCGTATGTTCCTGCGTGTGTGCGGTGTACATGAGTGTAGGTGTTCAAGAGGCCAGAAGAGGGTGTTTGATGCCATGGAGCTGAAGTTACAGGTAGTTGTGAGCTGCTCAATGTGTGCGCTGGGAACCAAATTCAGGTCCTCTACAGAAGCAGTTTGTGTTTGTAAGCACTGGGCCCTGTCTTCCAGACCTGATTGTGAATTTTGAGGTGGCAATACCTTCACTGATTTTGACAGAAATCACACACAGTACAATTAACAAGTGTGGTTTCTTTTCCTCCCTGTGAGTGACTGCAGCTGTGCGCCTGCACAGAGCACGTAGGCGATCCAGTTTCTCAAGCAGAGCTAAGAATCTGGGGGCTCCTCTGGGTCATAGTTCTGCCCACATTTCATAGCACCAGAGGTGCTGGGCCTCTGCTCTCAGGTGGGGCTGCTCTCTTGCTGAGGTGGACCGGTGTCCTACACTAGCAACATCTTCTACTGGAGCCTGGGGGAAAGGAGTGAATGTGGCTGGGAAGCGGTCATCATCCTGTCAGATTTATCAGCATGTCTGTTTGTGTCAGGAAAAACAGTGAATTTCTTAGAACACGGTTACCATGTGGGCCAACTGACAAGTAGAGGTGTCATATTTAAAAGGATGTTGTCTGGGACCCAAAATGGACTGTTCAGTTCTCCCATTCGCAAGATTCCCGAGTCTACTCCTCCGTGCTAAACCTTGTCCCTGTCAGTCTGACATTTTGTCCATTTGGCCGGTTCACACTGATAGCAGATAGTGAACCCACAGGAAACCTACCATTCTTAGGTCACTGGTGTGGAAGCTGAGATACTGCAGCTAGAGACGACTGAAAGAAAATGAAGTGGCGTTCAGAGGGGAAAGGTCAGAAGGCCAAGGGCTCTAGTTGGCCCTATTCTCACTGTGTTTCAGAGTGGCTGAGGCTCCACTGGAATTCAGACACTACTCGCGTCACAGGCCTGTCCTGGCTGAGCTCTTTAGGAGAGTCTTGGCTGTAGCTGACTGGAAAGCCCACAGAGTGTTTGCTTTCCAAATAACTAATTAATGCTATGGGCTTCCTTACTCTCTTTCTAAAGCTCCTCCTCCCCACGGTATAGCTGCCTGCTGGCACGGGGCTGACCTCCATGCTGCCTTAGCTCCAGAAACAAGGCATCTGTTCCTTCTCTTCCCCATCACTTGCCTGCCCTGGAGCTTTCCTTTCTGAACTTCAATAAATTGTCTTTTATCTTCCATTTGAGTCCATTGTTTGTGTGTTTCTGTTTATACCCATCCTTTAATTCTTTTACTAAGGAGACTTAAAAACCTCAAAGGAGAGCCTGCTTTCCCAGGTATCCTCTGATGGCTCTGCTGGTACTCTCCAGGATCTCTGGGAAGACTCATTTTTGGCTTTTTCATGAGTAAGGAAAATGAACCTGTTTCTGCACCCCTAGATGCTTCATGATCCCCAGTACCTGTGTAATAGGCCTGGCATCATGTATCTGTAACTCTAGTGCCTGCCAGTGAGGGGTGTGATGGAAGCGAGCAGATTCCAGGGGCCTGAAGGCCAGCCAGTCTAGTCGAAGCTGTGAGCTTTCAGACACTGTCTCAAAAGATAAGATGTAGGCTGGAGAGATGGCTCAGAGGTTAAGAGCACTGGCTATTCTTCCTAAAGGGCCTGAGTTAAATTCCCAGAAACTACATGGTGGCTCACAAACATCTACAGTGAGATCTGGTGCCCTCTGCTGGCCTGCAGGCAGAACATTGCATACATAATACATAAATCTTAAAAAAAAAAAGATAACTTATAGATAGAATAAGAGCCCCAAAGCTGACCTCTAACCACACACACAGACACACACGTTCGCCATTCACTTTCAGTCTTCTGTTATTGTGACTGATTAGCACTTCTTTAGCAATGCTGTGTTAATAATCTGGTTTTCCAGAAAACAAAGCTCTAGTGTGTCGTGCTGGATGATTTCCATCATGTACATTTTCCCACTGTGTCTGATCCCAACATGATGCCCTCTTGGTTTGGTGACAGTCAGACCTTGCGAGAATGCTTGAGCTGACTCACTCACCTTGTGACAGACCCTCTGACGTTCAAGCCTGGGTGCCGGGTGTAGCACCTCCATCTATCCCCAGGACTCTAGCCTTAAGAAACCATGTTCTTTGACTTAATTAGCATTCTGAGCTGACGGATTGCGCAGCAGCTACTGCATACTCTGCCTTTGGCTGTATATAAGTTGGTAATTATTTTTGGAGATATTATGATTATTTGTATTTTTATAGGGGCAGTTTTGGTGACATTATTAGACTAAGATATATTATAACATAAAATTTGCACTTTTCAAATTAATAGGTTGGTGGGTATTATTTGTAAAATAAACGTGTATTTATTTATTATTCTGCAAATAAGTAAGACATAAAGAAGAAATTAAATGGTCTGTACTCCGTATTCCCTAGAAGAATACTGTTCACATTGTAATTTCATCAAATTTACATTTTACTCCCAAAGCTTGTCAAAGTAGTTTGGTAATCTTTAAAGTATGTCCAACATGACTAAATATATTTGAGAGCCCATAGCAAGAGGGAGTAATAAAAACCACATCTTCTTGGCTGCTTCCTTACCAGAGGT